TGGAAACTGGCTACTCTTTCACCAAATCTTTCCAGCCTAACACACTCTCAAGCAAAATGCCTCTGTTCTCCAAGGATGCTCCCAGTTGCCAGACAGGCCATTTACTGGGGAGGAGCTCGTAGTTGAGCGAGAAATAGGACTCCTAACTAGCTCAACTTCTGATGCTGAAACAGGGCAGTAAGCATGCAGCTCTTCGTGACACAGTCAGCTCCAGTCGTTCTTATCTGCCTAGATCAGTACAACTGTTATTAGCATCACACTTCCCAGGATTATTTAATACCTGACAAATAGCAACAATCTTTTCTTTCTTTATTTATGACAGCCTTTGTTTTAGGCTGCAGGGCACTCTCAGGTAGCCTTGGTGCACGGGACTCGGCTGGCATGCCGAAGGGTTTGTTCGTAGGGCCAAAGGACAGCCGTATGCTAAAGGAAAGAAACAGAAGCTGAAATTCTGGTAGCTTTCAAAAACCATCTTACCTTCTGCAGTGGGTGTTTCTCTCCACTATTCCCATCCAACATAACAACTGCCCATCAGTAATAATAATTACAGAAACAACTTAAAACTTATCAAGAAATAGGGCAGGAACTTAGTTCACTCAAGCCTAGTTTGCAATTAACGTGCAGCGTGACTTTCCCACAGTTCAGAGATCTGCGCTATGTACATGGTTGTCATGTGGATGGAAACAGAAATCACACGGAGAGATCGCTGTTGCTCTTTCTCTCAGCCTGCTACTGAGCTATAGAAGGAGACACCATTTACTCCCGCTCTACATGCTGCAGTCCCTCTCTACAGGTGGGTACAGGCTGATGCAGACACCAAATACCGCATTGCAAAATCCTCCGTCACCACCTATACAGTATTTTTGGCTTCCTGATGCAAGTTTTGCCCACCTGGACAACACTCTGCAGCGAAGCAGGAGCTAAAACAAGAAGCAATCATATCGTATTTGGCCTGCAGGACCCTGGCTCTCTGTCAAGGTCGTGATGCTCTGGGGAAGAAGTTGCATTCTCCTTTAACTCAACTCTTCAATTTAGTGTTCAATAAATACAATTGCATATAAACATAGGTAAAATACAATTCTTTTTGCCTTAAGAAATAAAAAAACACAGGAAAGGATACAGGCGAAAGAGCTCAAGTTGAGGAACGCAGGAGAATTATTTGTCTTAATCTCTTCCTGCACACATGAGCAAATGGTAACAAACTCATCAGGAAGCTGAGACTGGCTCATTAATCTTATAGTGCATCTGTTATCTAATTTCCTTCAGTATACTCTGATAATTTGCTACTTCAAGATCAAGGTTTAATTTTAACTCCTTGTTAAAGTCCTAGAAATTATGACATTTCTACCCAGGGACTAATAATTTTTACAATCGTAATTAGATAATTCCCTAGCAACAATGCAATTCAGTATCTGTAAATAGTGTTTCCCCAAGCTTAAAAATTACTTCAGCTACTACATAAAACTCATAGGAATAATCCTATGTATTGTAAACATCTCCCTTTTCCATTACAACTCAGTACTCCAAATTATTTACGTTGTTCCACTGACATATGACTGCTTCCTATACTGCACTCAGAGACAGTTAAAAAGGAGATAATACCTTTTAAAGATGCTTTTGCCGAGTAAAAAGGTCTTAGCACATGCTAGTGCAAAACCAAACACTTTAAAAGACAAGTTTCAACCCTGATGTAAATCATAATATAAGAGCTTTCGGATAGCAGCCAGCTGAATTCTCTACCGTGTTGCACCTGGCAGGGACATGCACACCTGTGTAAAATGCTACCATTCAGGTTTGCACAATTTCACACCCACACAGGAAAATGCCTACCAGAAAGAACATGGTACCGGAGAGATCGCTCCCGGTTGTAACTGCATTAAAGCATGTTGAAGGCAAGATGGCTTTTAATTGACAATATTAATAAAAACTACTGCTCTGCAACTTGACAAGTAAATATAAAAAACGGGAAACAGCTTATTAGCTTCAAGATCCTTCTCTAACAGATTTTATCTGTGTAAAATTAGTCAAATGTGTTTAATAACTAATATGCAAATTAAAAAAATATCCAGACCGTGCTAATGTGTTTACTAGACAGACTTCACAAAACAATCAAAATGGTTAGAAGAAAAAGGGTCATTTTTGAAAAGTCTCTGGCACGTGGATTTTAATGCAAACAATGAACAGGGAACTCTGTCCCAGTCCCCAGTGGGGTGACTCAGGTGTACAAGCATTACTGATGAGACAGCTCATGTCCACACACTTACTCATCTGCCTAAGTGTTTGGGGTCATCATTCCAGTGATGTACCTGCGAGTCATCTGGGAAGCCCCCGTGCTTACACTCCAGCTGCTCCTGCTCGCCTCTCGCTGACTCAGCAGGAGAAAATCCACATTTATAAACAGAGCAGCATGAACCTGAGAGCTCACGCCGAAACTTTCGGGCCAGCACGTGAGTGAGGGACTGTCCCAGGTGATCCCCACAGCTCGGCTCTCCAGGAGCGCATAGGGGAGCGGAGGCAGCCAGCTGCCCTGCCCTGTTTGGCTGTTATCACTCCAAGGAGCATTGGGAGTTTACCAAAATGTTGTTGTCCTTGTCTCTGAAAAGTGAATGCAAAAATTCTATTTCAAATCAAAACGAAAAATCGTGCACAGCCAAGTAAGCGCAAGCCAGGTTAAACTTTGAGAATTCACCAATTTTCCCTTCGCTCCTTCCTTGCCTGTACGTGCCTTTGCTTTGGGGATGGAAAAAGGGCAGCATGAAGGACTTCAGAGTGGAGGTGTTGCAAATCGTCTACAAATCCCTTGTGGTGTCTTGTGTCGTACCAGCAGTTCACGGACCTTGGGTTGGTACAAACCAGCATTTCCTACCCTTCTGATTACACAAAACCCTGTGACAGCCTTGCTGGATTTATCAAGACATATTAAATTATCAAGACAAGATGCTGTTCCCTGTCATCATGTGATCCTGGCTGCACACTATCCAAGATGCTAACGAAGCAAGTCAAAAGGGAGGGTAGAGGAGAAAGGGAACAGAAGATGAACGCTTGCTCACTCCCCGCTAAATCCACCCCAGTTGTACTTTTTAGACGTTAACTGAAAAGGAGAGCAGCAGCTCTTAGCCTCTTTCTACACGTCCAGATGTAACATCAGTTTACATCAGTCTAATTAAAAAACTCACTGATTTCCCACCCCATTGCACCCATCAACTCGCAGGTACAGGAGTTCATAAAACACGTGCCTATCCAGCAGGGATAAGAAACTTCTCCCTCACCAAAGACCAAACAAGCGTTTCGGGCCACAGACTGCATCTGTCCTAAAAAAAAAAATCAGCACTGCAGTATGGATGAAATGAAATAAACAGCGTGCCCCTGGACGTCCATGCATCCACACCGGGGGCAATATTATTATAGATATTTTAGTAATGTAAATAAGGCCACCACCTTTGCAGGAGAGCAGTCCAACCCCACGCGTAGCCAGACCCAGCACGACCGGGATCACAGCCTCCCGAGAGGATCGGCCTCTCTCAACAGCAAAGAGGAAACACCCCCAGCAAAACAAACACGAAGAAAACCCTCAAAACCACAGCTCGCCATCCTGAGCTCACTCCTTCGCCCCAGCCCACAGGGGTCCCTTCTGTATTTAAAATGGCTTTAGCACAAGTCCCAGGAGCGGTTTCTCTCCAGCGGCACGACTGGCCTGGGAAGCGGGCTACGCTCCCACCAAGCAAACCCCGTGAGCTCTGCTCCGGCTGTGCTCTCAGGAGCAACACCTGAGCTAACTCGTTTGAGGCTCGCTTGGATCCCTCCGCCTGACACAAAATCACATCCGTGATGTGACCTTTAGTGCACGAACCTCAAGCCTATCCACAGGGTACACAAGTCACCATCAGAAGAAAAAAAAAAAAAAACAAAACCACAACAGTACCAATATACACCTATTAATCAATCCTGCGACTGGCATTTCCCTGTAATCCCCCCAGAGGTGTAGCATCACACCTCAGTCACAGAGACCGGCTGAGAACAGAAAGCACCAGCGATACGATCGAGATGCCTATCTGTTCTCTACAGTGTCAGCTCCCTTTCCTCCATGGCTGATTTTATTGTGGTGGTTACCTGACCACGGGTGCTGAACTTCCTGGCCTCAAAAAGCTAATACTTATCTTAACCTCGGAAATTCTCAGCTCTTCTGCACCTTCTCTACCCAGAAGAAATGCCCCCCCCCCCCTTTTTTTTTTCCCCTCTTTTTTTAACCTAACATTTACAAGCAGACTACTGTCTGGATCAATACAGTCACTCCCTCCTCCTCTACAGTGCTGGAAGCAAAGGCACAACTTTAGAGCCTGTACTATTCCTTTCCCTCACCATTAGGACTAAGACATAAATGAGGTTCTCTGGGCCGGATGCAAGTGCCATCTACTTGGAAATAACCTAGAATTAGCTGTAAGTGAAACTGTGTTCAACCAGCGCAGCAGCGTACATAACAGATGCAAGACTAGTCCTGCCGTTCTGCTCAGAAGTCAAAGAAATTCGCACGCATGCATCAAACAATTGTGCAAGCATGTGTAGATCTGAGCAGATCTAGGATCCGGGTACCCAAGTCTCCAAGTACGTCTCTGTGTGCAAAGAGGGAAGGTACGTGACTGCGTGAGTCTGCAGGTGTACTTTGCTGGTTATGTATTACAAGTCTCTTCTCTGCTAGTCCACAAAGAGCAGAGACTTCACAGCCCTCAGCTGTGTCTTGACCCTCAAGCTATGACAGCTGAGACTTTTTGTTCTCAAGGTCCCAAAACGCACCGGCTGAAATAGCAGCCTAAATAGCATTCTGAGCAAATCTGAAGCACAGGAGCACAAACAGATGCACGAAGGTACACCTGTGCGAACGCAGACACACCGTGCGTGCATCTGCAGCACAGGCATGCAAGGACAAGCCCCAGCTCCGCAAGCACCCTTCGAGCTCCTTCATTCATTCAGAGAATGAACTTCTCCTCGAGGTGGCTACTCACCCAGCCTTCGAAGCTGTCGCTGGGGCCCGAAGAGCGCAGGAGGTCCTGGAAGCACAAGGTGCAGTTGGCCACGAAGTCATCGTAGCCGATGGGGGTGTCGTGGAAGACAGACAGCTCAATCTGATGGCCGTCGGTAACCGTGGCGGAGAACTCCTCGTTGTAGGTGGGTTTGTTGGTCTTCTGCTTGGTGCTGGTCTGCCCAACCCGCACCTGGTCCACACTGACGGTGACATAAGGGTCCAGGAGCTGGTAGCCCTTGC